TGTAAAAGTTTTGGTTTTAAAAAAACCCTTAAACGTCCAAACGAGATCTAATTTTTTTTAAAAATTTGAAAGTAGAAAAAAAATAGATTTTTTTTTTTTTTTTTTTTTTTAATTTGAAAATTTTAAAAAAAAAAATTTGATCTACGGTTTTTGTTGTTATAATATTTAAAAATTGAAAAATAATGTAATCTACTTTTGGAGCACAAACGCATGTGAACGTAATTTGTTTTGGAATTTTAAGGGGTTAAAAATTTTTCCTTTCCCTAGGATAAAACCCCCCGAAAAGGTTCTTGGAATAGAGGTTCAAAACTTTTTTGCAAACCTCAAAAAATTTTTACCCCCCAAACCCCACTTACCAGCACAAAATAAAGTTTTTTTGGGGCCCAAATTTGTAAAGAGGTTTTTTAGAAATTTTCCCCCTTGAGGGGACGGGCCCCTCTCCGAAACTCTTTCGGGTCGCCAAATTTCAAAAAAAAAAAAAAATTATTTTTCTTAAAAAAAATAGGTTTTTTTTTGTAAAATTATAGGAAACAAAAAAATTTTAACGAAAACTTCCCGAATATGGAGGTGTAAAATTTGCCAAAAATTGAACAACATATGGAAACGCCGACTGCCTCCCCCTTTTTTTTTCTTTTTACTTTTTTATGTATATTTTCAATTTTTTTTTAATTTTTCTTTTTCTGATACTTTTATGGCCTCTGGGCCAACATGATCATATTTTGTAAGTTATTTCTTTTTCAATATACAAAATAAGGCAAAACACTGTTGTCTTTTTTTTTGTTTACAAAAAATATTTACACAAACAAAAAATATAAATGTTTTTTTTATTATATTTTTCTATATTTTTTATACACATAACAGTCACGGGGAAATGTTTCTAGAAGTTTCGACCTGTGGAAGCTTTAAAACATGGTGTCTGCACAGTGGAGTTTTGCACCCCTACAAAAAAAAACGAGTGTCTCTGGTTTTGTGGGCGTTTTTTTGTATGTGAACAGACAACCCCCTCTTCTCCCTTTTTTTCTTCAAAGCAGTAGCAGGCAGTTTTACCAGGAAGTGATCACCATGCTTCAGAGAGAGGTTTTTGTTGAAAATTTGGTGGGGGGGTCAATTGCGGTGCATTTCCTTGGTATTGAATACAATTTGTTGTGACGACAACAAAATTGCCGATTGGTTTGTTTCGGGTGCTCTTTATAATTTTATAAGCTTGAGCATGGAAATGTCCAGAAGATGGAAAAACTTTTGATGTACCACTTATAACTCTTGGAACAAAATCGCAAACCAACTGATGCACATTTTCCCTGAACGAGTTGAAGGGTTTTTCAATCACAGGAGTTTTAGAATGGGTTCATTTCTCTCTTATGTGCCGCCACTGTTGCCATTTCATTGGGGTGAATTAGAAAACGTGGCATCTCGTTTGTCATGCCCCCGAAATCCATGTTCATTGGCGCAACCCCTGCCCCTACCTCTCGAGTCCAGCGTAAAACCCGGGCATATGTTTTCGATTTGAGCACTGGCCAAACCCCATGTCATTTTTCACTCCAAAAAATCATGAGTGGGGGGCTTGTTCCCAGTTATCTGTATATAATATCCCCCTTTCCCAAGGTAGGTTCTATCATTTTCGAACCACATCACCTGAGATGCCAATAACTTCTGGTTTTTTAAAATGTAAATTTCCGTGTACAAAATAATACCCATCCCAGCCACTGAAAACAATACAAAGCAAAAACAACTTTTCCCAAAAGCGTTTCCTCTTGTTTGGTATGTACTGCTTGAAAGAGGTTTCCTTTGAACAGAATAAAAGACCTCAATTAACTTCCTAAAGGGGATAAAAATGCGCTAAATTTTTGTTTCGATACAAAAACACTTCCTATCTTATATCCCCTGTTTCTGTCAGGCCTGGTTTTATCTGAAAAGTGAAGCATACGTAACATTAGCACAATCGATTTACGGGGTTATATCATAAACCGGTGTTGCAAACAGGGGTTTTTACCAGTATGATTTCATTTGTGTTTACAATTTGGATAAGCATTATGTGGCAAAAAAAGATACATTCAGCCACGTTCCCCCCTTCCATTGGGGTAGACTGATTTTTGAAAATAATTTTTTTGCCATGGTTATCGAGTATGTTTTGCTTTTATGACAATACTTTTCATCATGGTTTGTCCCAAAGAATAATCGAAACATTCCATTCAGTGGATTTTTCCCAATGCACAAATGGCCGATTCCCCTTTTTTTTCCCTCAAATGGGGGGGATTGGGAAAAAAATTGACAGCTTCCTGCCAAACCCCGGGGCGGTTGTGGGGGGTATGGACAATGAAAGGGGGTTTTTGGTTGTGGAGGTTGTGGTTGTGGGGTTTTGGGGGGTAGGGGGTTGGGGGGGGGGGATGGTGGCCTTTGTTCTAGATCAGCTGGGCAGCGGCGGGGGGGTGGGGGCAGCATGGCCCCCTGCTGGGCCACCCCCCCGGGAAAAACTACACCCCGCCCTTTTCCATCCCAATTGAACAGATTTGTCATTTTACTGTTGTTTGGTTTTTACAGCCAGGATGTAACCCCCAATAATCCCCCCTTGGGAAAAGCATAAAGGCACATTCCCGAGCGATATATTCGTTATACTGAGCTTCACTGGGAATATTGCACTTAACTACACTACTGGGAAATGTTTGAGAGTTGTGTTCATATTCACTACACTTTTCATCACCCCTGTTTGAGTCTGGGATTTGGGAAAATAGAAGTTTCCTCTTTTTGGTTTGGAAAAACTGAACGTGAAAACAGGCCCCGCACCCAAGGGGGAAGGCTAGGTCGTTGGGTTTTTTTCACTATTACCAAAATTTTCATTAGTTTTTTGGGCAAAACCTCATAAAACACAAAATCTCTTCAATGGGGACTTCCTCACTATTAGAAACTTCACTGGGGAAAAAAGTGCCCCCAATTCGCCCAGGGGGTGGGAGCTTCTTACCCAGGGTGGTGGAATTGTTACAAAAAAAGGGGATTTCCCCCAATGCACCCTGGGTCCCCGATTTTTTTTTTACCGCGCAACCCACCCCGCAGACCCATCTCTCACACCTTGGCCTACCGCCCCGGGGGGGGGGGGGGGATTTTAGGCCCCTGAAATTTATGCGTCTAGTAGTCAAAAAACCCACGCGTAAGACGTACTAGTACGACGAAAACCCTCAAAGGGGTTTAAAAATTTTTTGCCCTAACCCATTCTTTGTCTCCGGATTTTTCAAAACCCTTTGTAACCCGATTGATATGTGAATTTTGTTTTGGGGCAATATTACCCATGTTTTGGTGAGGGTGGTTGGAGCCCGTGGCCTACGACTCAGCCAAATATCAGGGCCCATCAGCAGGCTAGTCTACTCTGAGGAGGGGGGCCCCGGCTCTGGTACTTGTTGGGCATTTTTCGTGTTTTTGTCCGAATATGTGGCATTGTCTTTAGTGAACAATATCTGAGACCTCAGTCATTTAAGAACAAGAACAAGACGATGCAAAGGGTTTATGGTACAAAATTGCAACCTCCCCCTTTCGCCCCATAGCTGGAAAAATAACTGTGGGGATGCCCTTTCGAGAACTTTATTCTATTAAATGTGTTAGGGGCAAGGGGAGTAAACCTTTTTTTTTCCTAGGTCAGATTAAAATTGAGTTTTCTGACCACAAAGGTTTTGTTTTAGTGAGGGGGGCACTTGTTTTTCTTTCACAAGTGTCTTGAACCTAAGTGCCTCCCGTCGTTGTCTCACTCTAAAGGTTTATCGATTGGGAAATCCTCGATTGATCATACCTAATGAGCTAATGGTTGACAGGAAAGGCAGTTCCATTAGTATTTCATGCCTTGGGGGGGGACACCAAAAGGGTGCCCAATCCCGATATTAGAGCCCTTTTGGGGGGGGTGTGGTATGCGAAAGTATGTTACATTTTATTCAGTGTATTAACACCCCTAAGGCATGCCCTTCCAAACCGTAACCGGTGTAAGAAATTTAAAGATCGGGTTCATCAATACATTTTCCTTTGTTGAACCATAATCCAAGGAAGCCCGCCAAAAAACTGTAAGCTACTTGGGATGCTCGGAAGACTTTGGCAATTATGTTTTAGTGGTGCCACAGTTCTAGAAATCTTCTCCCTTTGCCTCATTGTAATAATTGTAAAAAAATGACTAGTTATTTTGGTGAAGGAAAAAACAATCTTATTCTCTCGCCTTTTTTTGCTAGTTCCAATTGGTTATTTGTATGTGTGGAGGCCAATGTTAATTTTGCTCGTAATACACTTCTTCTTTCAACAAAATGGCCGTATTCCACCAAGGTTGGGTGGTTCAAAAAGAAAAACAAAAATTTCTCTTTTTAACTTTAGTAATATATACAGGAGAAGGGGCTACTAGCCCCTTGCTCTCGGCATTTTAGTCGCCTCTTATGACATGCATGGCTTATGGAGGAAGAATTGTGTTCCACTTCCTCATGGAGAAATACACCATAGCACTAATTTCTTTTACAACTCCATCTATAAATATATGACATTACATAATGCAGTTTAAGACCTACTTTTACTGAAAAATAATCTCCCTCTCTCCTATCTACCCTAACCTGCACCTCACTATCCACACAGAAGCTCTTTACTGCATTAATTAAGCCACCACCTATTCCACACATTTGCAACATTTGCCACATTGCTCCCCTATCCACTCTATCATATGCCATTTCTGAATCCATAAATGCAATGAAAAGTTCCCTACCTTTTACTAAGTATTGTTCACTTACGTGTTTCAGTGTAAACACTTGGTTTACACAATCCCTACTTTTTGAAAAACCTCCTTGTTCCTCTGCAATCCATGGGTGTGTATCGAAAAATAGATTCAGAGTTTCTAACACTACTTACAATTTTCAGGGGCACAATATTGCAAATAAGGAACCTACTGTATATAGTACAAAAGAATTTTTAACATCAAGAACCAGAATATAAGCTTAAATTAAACCTGTGTAAAATATAGGGTTTTTTTTTTTTTTTGGCTTTACCTAGTCTGGCTTCCACAAATCTGAACATAATTCCTAATGAGCCTTTAGCAGCATAGTATCCGGCCGTAAGAGCAACTAGTCCACCAACTGCAGCTTGGATCTTTGCAGGATCACTCAAAAATGTATCTAAACCAGTGCCAATTGCTGCACCTGCTGTCCTGTAGAAAAGAAAAAATATGATAATTTTATTATGAAGGTTTAACAAACATTATGATGAGGAAGAGGTAAGTCTGTGAAGCTCATGTACTCTACACACAGTTACAGTTGGTGCTTGAATAATAGGCTTGCAACCAATAAGAACTGGAAAATAGTTTGTGCCAAACAGAGGTCAGATATAGAAAAAAAAATTGTGGTAGTGTGCTATAGGATGAGTTGCTCATGACATACCAGTCAACACTATACATAACCTCTGAGCTAAAACTACATGACCAAAAGTTCATGGAAGGCAGATTGACAGTAGATTGTTGTTTTATATTCAAAAGAAGCACTAAACCTACAGGGGTCATACAATACTTGGAGAATATGAGACAATCAGGTTTGACTCACAGAAGGTAAAGACAGCTACAATCTCATGGATCAAGAGCACTTCACCAGTACCAAGACACCTACTAAAGGGCTACATCTGTGCTTGGCAAACTCTAGTATGCATTAGAGATGGGAGACACTATATAGTGCCTGGGAAATGAGAGAGAATTAGATTTGACTGAAGGAAGGGAGGGGTCATAATGATGGGACAAAGCCAAAATTTTTGCTAATACCAATAAAAACTTTTAGGCCAACACCAATACCATAAAAATTAGCATACCTTTTTCTTTCAACAAACCAGCCATATTCCACTGAGGCTGGGTGGCCCAAAAAGAAAAAAAAAAATTTTCTTTTTAAATTTAGTAATGTATAGAGGAAAAGGGGGTTACTAGCCCCTTCTGGTATTAATTAAGTTTGAGTACTGAGGTTCCACTATATTGGGTAAGCAACATATACAGTGGACCCCCGGATATCAGCCAATTCAGATTTTGGCCGCTTTTTTGGTCGAAATTCTATCCTGGATTTCAGCCGGCAATTCGGAAATTGGCCGTATTGGATGCATCCGCCTGCCACTCCGCTGCATTCGTGAGTCAGTCTGGCTGTGTGTCTGGGTGAGTGAGCAACATTCTGCTCTTTCATCCAAACATTTCATTATAATCCATTGTTTTTTGTGGTTGTTTATTGAGTGCGACTGCAAAATAAGCCACCATGGGCCCAAAGAAAGTTCCGAGTGCCAGCCCTTTGGTAAAGAAAGTGAGAAATACGGTAGAATTCAAGAAAGAAATTGTAGCAAAGTACAACAGTGGTGCACGTGTGCTCCAGCTTGCCAGGATGTATGGGAAATCGAAATCAACACTCACTTCCATTCTGGCAAAGAAAGTAGAAATCAAGGAAGCTCATGTTGCAAAAGTGGTAAATATGCAAACGAAACAAAGATCACCAATAATTGAAGATGTGGAGAAGTTATTGTTGGTGTGGATCAACAATAAACAATTAGCAGGAGACAGTGTTGTGGAGTCAATCATTTGTGAAAAGGCAAGGCAGTTGCATGCAGATCTCATGAATAAAATGCCTGGAACGAGTGCTACTGTTAGTGAATTTAAGGGCCAGCAAAGGCAGGTTTGACAGATTTAAGAAGCATAGTGGCATACACAGTGTGTTGTAAGGCACGGTGAGGCTGCAAGTTCAGACAAACTTGTGGCTGAAGAATTCGTGCTTGAATTCAAGGAGTACATAGAGGCTGAAGGATTCGTCCCCCAACAAGTTTTCACTTGTGACGAAACAGGCCTCTTTTGGAAGAAAATGCCAAAGAGGACTTATATCACACAGGAGGAAAAGGCACTGCCAGGACACAAGCCTAGGAAGGATAGGCTTACTCTTTTGTTCTGTGGTAATGCTAGTGGGGATTTCAAAGTGAAGCCTTTACTTGTGTATCACTCAAAATCCCAGGGTGTTCAAGAAAAACAATATCATCAAGAGTAAATTGTATGTGTTGTGGAAAGCTGGGTCACAAGGCAAATTTTCACTGACTGGGTCCATGAAGTGTTTGGCCTAAATGTGAAAAAAATAACTCTAGGAAAATAAATTGTCACTCAAGTGTGTCCTGGCACTGGACAATGCCCCTGCTCATCCTCCAAACTTGGTAGACCAATTGCCTATGGAGTTAAGTTTTATAACAGTGAAGTTCTTGCCTCCTAACACCAATCCTCTCATCCAGCCTATGGACCAGCAGGTAATTTCTAACTTCAAAAATCTCTACATGACAGCAATGTTTCAAAGGTGCTTTGAAGTGACCTTGGACACTGACTTGACCCTAAGAGAGTTCTGGAGGAATCACTTCAGTATCCTCCACTGCATAAGTCTTATAGGTAAGGCTTGGCAGGGAGTGACTTCCAGGACTTTGAACTCTGCTTGGAGAAAATTGTGGCCAGAATGTGTCCTCGACAAGGATTTTGAAGGGTTTGAGGCTGACGACCCTCTGCCTGCTGTGGAATGTATTGTGTCTTTGGGGAAGTCCATGGGGTTGGATGTGAGTGGCGAGGATGTGGAAGAGTTGGAGGAGGACCACAGAGAAGAGCTAACCACTGAAGAGCTGCAAGACCTTCATCTGCAAATAAGCTATATCTGCAACATGTTCAGTGACAAAATCTTGTCCACCTTCAGACAAATCTTAGAGATGCCAGAAACAGACCTCTCTGGACAGTTTTTTTTTGTGCAACAGTGGTGCAGTGACTCTCAAGCTGGTCCAAGTGCCAGTAAAAGACAAAGAAGAGAAGTAACCCCGAATAGGGACTTGATACCTGAAGTCCTTATGGAGGGAGATTTCCTTTCCAAACAATAACCTCAACTCCCTCTCCCCTCCTCACCTTCTTCAAGGTGTGTAATGTTCATTTATCATTAAAATTTGTGCTTTATATTTATTTCTCATTGTTTTGTGTATGTAAAACTATAGTTAATCTTTAAAAAATGTATTTTTTGTTAATATTTTTGGGTGTCTGCAATGGATTAATTGTATTCACATTAATTCTTATGGGAAATATTACAGTGGACCCTCGGGTAATCGATTTCAATCCATTCCACAGAGTTTGTCCTTAACCGATTTTATTGTTATCTGATTTAATTTTCCCCATAAGAAATAATGGAAATCCAATTAATCTGCTCCTGCTGTCAGGAGGCTTGACAGAACAGTTCTTCAATATGATGCAATTATCAACTCTACGGCTTATTTATCTATCACAATTAATCTAATATGACATAATAAACAATATTAATAACATAGAAACATGATATATACTCTAGAATGAATAAAATATGTCATAATGTATGTGAGGATAAGTGATGGAAGTGTTGTTGTTGGGTTTATAATAGCCACTGAGAGAAGCCATACATAGTGGAGCTTAGTTTAAACTTATATTCTGCTGGTGGAGGCACCAGCAGAACCCACCAATACTATCACACTTAAACAATGTATGTAATTTACAAATAAAAAATATTTACATTTTAATTTATATACAGTGAACCCTTGGCTTACGAATTTAATCCATTCCATGACCTCGTTTGTATCCTGATTTGTTAGGTAAGACACATATGCAACAGTTAGGTATCTTTATTTTGAAATGTTTCACCAACACAGTAGGCTTCTTCAGTCGAGTACAGAAAAGTTGATAGAAGAGACGTGAAGACTATGTAATCAGTCCATCACCCTTGAAGTTTTGAGGTGGTCAGTCCCTCGGTCTGGAGAAGAGTATTGTTCCATAGTCTGAAACAATATGGAGTTGAAGTAACAGGATGGAGCCTTATATACCGCCAGGAGGTGAGATGTAGGCCACAGGTAGAGGTAAGAATGTAGTCGTTGGGAGGTCACGTCCCTCTCAAATCCAGCCATTCTCACTAGAAGAAGTTGTCCAAGTTGTTTTCTGTTCTGTACCAAGATACCATTGTGTTGCAGTGTTTGACAGAGTGAATATTAAAATGGTATAAAATACCGACAGGTTGTTAGGTAAGACATAAGAACACAAGAATGGAGGAACACTGCAGAAGGCCTACTGGCCCATGCGAGGCAGGTCCTTATCAAAACGACCTCTACCTAAAGCTACCCAAGAAATAACTCCCGTACCCAATGACACCAATCAAACCCAGCCCCTCCCACTCATATATTTGTCCAGTCTCTTCTTAAAGCTACCCAAGGTCCTAGCCTCTATCATCCAACTGGGAAGACTGTTCCACGCATCTACAACTCTGTTAGAAAACCAGTACTTACCTATGTCCTTTCTAAATCTAAATTTATCCAACTTAAATCCATTATTTCTGGTTCTTACCTGGTTCGACACCCTCAGTACTTTATTAATATTTCCCTTGTTCATGCCCGTCATCCACTTATACACTTCAATGATATCTCCCCACATTCTACGCCTCTCCAGAGAGTGGAGATTAAGGCTTTAAGTCTATCTTCATACGGGAGGTTCCTTACACAGTAAATCATTTTAGTCATTCTTCTCTGTATGTTCTCTAATGAGTCTATATCCATCCTGTAGTAAGGGGACCAAAACTGAGCAGCATAATCTAAACGAGGCCTCACTAGTGATGGATAGAGCTGTAATATAACTTTTGGACTACTGTTACTTATACTACTTGAGATAAATCCAAGTAATCTGTTGGCCTTGTTGCGCACACTAAGGCACTGCTGTCTTGGCTTTAGATTTCTGCTCACCATGACTCCCAAGTCCTTTTCACATTCTGTATGATCAAGCTCTACTTCACCTAGATTATAGCTTCGAGGGTTATTTTCATTACCAAGGGCAAGTACCTTACACTTATCTACACTGAACTTCATCTGCCATTTTTCAGACCAGGACATTTTGTCCAAATCCTCCTGGAGTTCATAGCTATCCTCCTCAGAGTGAATTATACGGCCAATCTTTGTATCATCAGCAAACTTAGTCATGTCACTCGTAGTCCCTTCATCAAGGTCATTAATGTAAATTATGAACAAGAGAGGGCCTAAAACTGATCCTTGTGGAACGCCACTAGTGACTAATCCCCATTTAGATTTCACTGAACTAATGGTAACTCTCTGCTTTCTATTGGTAAGCCATGCCTCTATCCATGCTAGAACTTTACCTCCTATACCATG